GCAGCTGAACATGAAAAATATCAAATAATTAAAACTACGCTTACATAAATCAAATAATAATAAATTCAAATAATGGTAGCCCCATCTCAAGATACCGATGTTCCATTAATATTTTATTTTTGGACAAAAATATTAACTTCTAAGTGTTATCTTGGTGCAGTAATAAATACTGATAATAATAACATGTCAAAAATAAATTTTCTTTTGGGCTAATTTATAAATCACATGTAAAAAATCTAAATAATTATCACGTATTTATTACCACAAGTGCACATGTAATTTTATTAAATATTGACCTTCCTTTGGACCGATCAATATTCATAAAATTACAGGTACCCAACTAGTTATATTTTAAAATAAATTAATTTTCATAATAGAGGTCACTTTGGTGGCATATTATTTCAATTAATTTATTCCAAAATATATATAATCATACCAATATTCAAATTTAAAATAATACAAATTAAACAAAATTTTTTATCAAAGTCAACTTTGGTCAACTCTGGTCAAAACGTGGTCAAACATGGTCAAATTGAATCAAAACTTATTGGACCAAAAGTTCATATCCATAATCCGACCCAAATTTATCATTCAACCCCAAAATATTTCTTGAAGTCCATAAATATTTTATAAAACTTTATATTTAGCGGGCCTAATATATGGACTTTATAGGACTTGAATGTCATATTTAACTTTATTAGGGTTCACTTAAATTAAAGAAACCCTAATTTCCTTTATATTATTTCTCAAACAAGAAAACAAGTCAAAGAGTCCAATTGTAAACAATTGAGCTACAAAGACATAATGAAAAAGTCACGGCAAAAAAGAAAATATTTTGGCTTTCTGTTTGAGAAAAAGATAAATTAATTGACAATCAATTATGATCCCGAACCACGTGCCAACTAGTCATTAATAAGCTAAGCCGAATTCTCCAGATGTAAAAGTAGGGAGTCGGCCAACCAAAATAGCGTGAAGAAACAATTGAATCATACAACTAAAGTTGGACTATGGTGGGACCCTCTAAATTTCATGTATGCAAAAGCATTGTTGGAATGATTTGACCGAAGGCCATACATTACTTACGTAAGCACCCATGAACATAAAAGCCACATAAAGACTCGTCAACCATGGAAGCGGAGCCCACGAATTCAATTTTTTTTTTAATATTGCATATGAGTCAGAGTGGCGCCGTACAAACAAAAACATAATTTACCATAATTCTGAATTCATGTAGTGCGGCGGAAGCAACCAAAATCATGTCATATATATAACGAAAACAGTGAATCAACTGGCGATCGAAAATTTAAACACATAACAGTCATGTATTTAATAGCATCAGGTCCGCAGCCAATAGCCATGAAAACAGAACCAATAGTAATAAAACTATAAATTACTAAAACAAAAGTATTTTCTAATAATCAATCATATGGGCTCTGATACCACTTGTTAGGGTGGTTATCTAAATTTAACCTTTGGTGAAAACCATCACCTATTAAACCTAAAATTTATATGGCGATTATTAAGAAATAAATTAACAATAAAATAACGGAAGCGTACCTGGATTCATATCGACAAACTGATATATGAATCTCCAAAGTTATTGGGGTGGCCTTCCAAGTCAACACGTATTTACCGATCTTTTGAGAGAACCCTTTAGTTTCTCTCTGGTATCTTTCCTGACGATGGGATATCAAGAAAGAGTTATTTTGTGGTATTAGGAAATACGACAACTAGAATGATACGTGTGACTTGGGGACCATAACTCTATTTATAGGTAACATTCTTGTACTCTTTGGAACCTTATTTCAACCCATCATAGAAATAGAAGCCCTTAAGTCTCTACACATTAAAGGCCCACACCCTATTAGATACATTAAATCCAAACTATATTTGATCACTTTAATTGGGTTTAACCTTAATTGACAGTTTGCAAAACATAATTATTCATATATAAATCCAATGTTGAATTAAGGATCCAACATCTTCTTCTTCTTCTTTCTCATATGTTGTGTACTAAATTTAGTTGGCACATTAATGATGTTTAAGACAGTTGCTCTAGTTGGAGAGAGTGGAAGCGGGAAATCTGCGGTGATCTCACTGTTGCAAAGATTTGACCATCCTGATTCAAGTCATATTACACCGGATGGGATTAAAATTGGACAAATTCTACTTTATCCCCTGTGGTTTAACGTTTTTTTACATAACCCTCCTATGGTTTCAAAAACTATATATAACCCCCTTATGGTTTGGATTAAAGTGTCAAAGTGACGGGAATGACCATTCGTAACAGAGTCACATAAAATGTCAAAAATACCCTTATGTAAAGTTGAAAATTATTTATTAACTAAGGAGGGTTATGTGTATATTTTGAAAATCATAAGGGGGTTATATGATAAAGTATTAAACTATAAGGGGGTTATATAGTAAAATATAAAAATCATACGGGGTTAATGTGTCATGTATTTATAAGGGTAATTTCGACATTTTTAGAAGTTCCGTTACGAGTAACTATTTCTGTCATTTTGACGCTTTAATCCAAACCATGAGGGGATTATGTATAGCTTTTAAAACCATATTGGGGGTTATGTAAAAAAATGTTAAACCACAGGAGGGTAAAATATAATTTGCCCATTAAAATTCAAAAGTTTCAAGTGAAGTGGCTAAGGCAGCAAATGGGGCTTGTGAGTGAAGAACCTGTGTTGTTTAATGATACAGTTCGAGCCAACATTGCGCACGGGAAGGAAGGGAATGCTACAGAAGCAGAAATACTAGAAGCAGCAGAGGTAGCAAACGCGCACATGTTCATTAGTGGGTTGCAACAGGTTTGTGATCGAACACTAATCTCATCATTTTCACAATCTATAGTATGTCAACCTAAACATCTAAGCATTGTCACAACGTTTTCAGCAGTCTTAGTTTAATCAACAGAATACAAATTTTGTACTTCTATGGAAGGCTTTTCAGCTTCAAACTGTTGTATCTCAATACCAATTTAACCCAGGCTAGCTGCAAACAGGTAACTGCTTCCTTTTCCTATGTAAGGTGGATGGATAACTTTCAGCAATTAGACCCTCAGGAACATTTACCTGTTTCAAAAAAGTGGTTTAAAATACTGAAATGAGAGCCCCATCATCCTTTTGGAACAATGGTTCTGAAACAATACATTTAGTCACAAACCCCAAAACCCAAATTACAGATTTTTATCAAGATTCCAATTCCTCTAAATCCTTGCCATGATTATGACAGAAAACAAGAACCCCACTTCAGTACCACTCTAAAAGAAGTAGGACTGACCTCCTATTATCAAGTTCTACCTTCAAAATAGAACCAAGGTAGAGATACGGCCATGCTGGACAAGTTTCAGTCCAAAAAACAGAGACAAGAGGACCTATAACAATTAACTACCAAACTTGTATATTCAGATGATTGCAACCACACCAAAATACATATATACCAAACCACTCGAGTTAGTCCAATGGCCAGGGAAGGTCTCTTAGAATTCTCCCCGCTACACTAATTTATTTGTGAACAATTAGAACTGTCCAAAAATGAAATCGCTAAGAATCCTATCATTATTTTTATCAGAAGGAAGAAACCAAGCACACGCCAATCCTTTATTATTTTTATCCTTTTTCTTTTTCTCTTTTTTTTTATGTTGCTGAATTTGATTTTCTTTTTCTCATGGACGTGTCCTAAGGCCAAACTAAACTTTTGTTTCCTTGTTCTTTGTTTTTTAGATGACCAAAATTTTAATTTGCCTAAAACGAAATGGCCCACATTAAATTAAAAGGAAAACCTTCAAAATTTTAGAAATTGCGGACCTTTATACATATATATATATACTCCCTCCGTCCCATAAAATTTGTCGCTTTTGATACAACGTGCAATTTATGTATAGCGATATTAGTAGAAAAGAGAATTTTTACTTTCCTTTTTTTATCGCTAGTAGCGGGCCATTTTTTATTTGTTGTATTGATAATTGTAAAGAATAAGTGGTGGACCACATGACACATGAAAGGTAGAGATAAAATTTTATTGAACAACGTGAATTAACTTATCTAACACGACAATTAATTTGGGATAAGAAAAAGTGACAAACATGACAAATTTTATAAGACAGAAGGAGTATATCAAAGACATTCTCATCTCAAATTGAAAATTCAAGTTATATTGAAAATGCACTTCAAAAACATTGTTATTTTAATGGGTATATGATATTTTGAAATAGTTTTGTGATCTCTAACATATTTTACTCTTGATTCAACTTTGAGATGAAAATGACAATACCCTCATAATTTACAAAAAAATTGCTGCAGAAATTAAAAATCACTAGCACTTGGGACGGTGGGCTAGAGAATGGGGTCAAAGCCCTTCCGCTCTAGCTGGTCAGGGGATTGATCATGGATAAAAAAGAATTTAATAGATATTTAAAGAAAAATAAAAAGTTTATATATATATGTTGGCAGTATATACACCATCACGATTAGATGTATGAGACATGAACGGAATTTGAATTTCAAATTTAAATTCAAATGAATTGTCATACATTCAATAATAATGGTAGCCATAAAATATCTTATAGGTAATTTATATCCTAATCATTTCCCTACTACATTATTTTGTAAAGTGTCGAATTAATTAATTAGCTAAACGCTAAGGAAAAATTAACACATAACCAAACTATAGTGCTTCAGACCCATTGAATTCTATTTCGACATATAAATTTCAAAAATCAAAACCTGCAATGCCGGCTCTCTTCGTTTCAAAAGTGCGGCGATGTACTCTAAACTTGCGAAAAATGGCGGAGAAAAACAACAAACAAACTTCAAGTCGTAGCAGAATGGCTTAAAGCACTTGCATCTAAGTAAGGAAAGACATAATACTTGATAATAATATTGGTATCAAATCCAATATAGAATCATCTAATTTTATTTATGCTATTCAAGTAAAACAACATGAACTTTGCCACAAATTTGACAGTCTTTTTTTTTTTTCTTTTCTTTTCTTTTCAAAGGTTCAAATAGCTCAACTGAGCAGACATGGAGCAATGTGTAATGTAACTGTAGATATGTTGACAACATAAAGAGAAATAACTCAAGTCACCCATGAGGAGATTAGAAGCTGTGAGTATGCACAACAGCAAGTCAGGATTACGAGATTGTGATGCTGATGCATAATATATGAATGCTTATCATAGTTATAAGTATTTCATTTTCCTGTTGTAATGCTTGGACATGTTTAAGCATCCAAAGAGGCATAAGCAAGCAGCACTTCATTTTCTTCCAATAGTGACATGTCCAACTCGGAATCTTTTAGGATAAGATGTGCATGTATTCCATTACCATCTTCCATGTCTGTTAATATCAAGATGTTGAGATTTAGCCCTGGAGTGGTTCCTGGGTATACCAATGATAAGTGACTAATTTACGTAATAATTGTATGACATTTTATATTATTTTTAGTCACTTTGGTTATATTATTGGAAGAATATGAATCATTTTGGCTATAATTGGTGAAAAATGCTTTTAAGTAATTAAATGAGGTTTTTATCACTTTTTACTTGGATTTTGTGTATTTTGACAGTTTTGACACATTTTCGTATTTCGGCTATAACTTGAGTTACAATGATCGGATTGGGATGATTCTTGAACCCATTTGAAGATAAGAGATAGATCTACAACTTTGGTGAAGACATCTAAATCCAGTTTGAAGGTTTTCCAGGTCAAAATGCCGAATTACAATAGCAAATTTCTACTGGTCGAAACTGGAACAGGGCAATGAGCAGGCAAGGGTATTTCAGTCATATCTCAGCCTACACAGATCCAAATGAGGTGATTCTTGATGCATTAGAAAGATAACTCAAAAGGCTACAACTTTCGTGTTTTAGACATGAGCTGGTTCAGCCTCTAACATCAAGAAAAGATTGGTTGAAGTTGGGCAAAAAACAGAGCAAGTGATCCACACTCGGATCCACTATTCATCCGAACCCTCGGTTGTTTCTGGGTTAGTGGATCCGAGCTCGGATCCATACGGATCCGAGGTACTGTAGCAGCTCGGATCACTGGTCAGAAAAGGCTGCTCTGTACGCGTAAAACTCAATTTCACCTCCACCAACTCACATTGGATGCTAGACATGTGAGAAACATTCCCAGCTGTAAAAGGGAGATGTAATCCTCATTTCTTGACCACCTTTCATCATTAAATAGCCAAATGCATTGCAAAAATAGGGATTGGGGAGTTCATAGCAGAAAAATAGAGAGACATACGGGAGAAGCTTGAAGTTGCAGAAATGTAGCTCTTTCATCTCCCTAGTGTTAGTTTAGCTTAGTATAGAGTAGTGTAGCTTTTTCATTCTTGTTTATTATCTAGATTAGGATGAAGATGGAGGATGAAGAAGACAAGGAAGAAAGCTCATGTGACAAGGGTTGTATTCCTTCCAAACTCTTTATCTTTTGTATTTGATTCCAAATTTAGTTAATATACAAGTTCTGGATTTTGTGTTCAATATGTGTTTCTAAAGTTTATACCTTGGGTTTGGTTGAACTTTCTATAATTGTTAGTGTTTATTATTTGGTTATTTGACTGCTATGATTTGAGCAAGTTATTTAGCACTTCAGCTCTTGAAATCATGATTAATCTGGTACCATTAATTGTGATTATCTAAGGTGTTGTTTCTGCAATGAAAATTGAGATTTAACACTAGTTCAAGAAGTGCTAAACATAGGGAGTACACTCACGAAAGTAGAGGTGCACTTATGTGGTTTTTAGTGATTCATTTCATGTAATTTCATTGAAGAAATGAACTTGTAGCTAATTTCATAACCATGAAAATAGGTATGGATTAGTTATGAGTATAGTTGATTCACTACGAAAGTAGGATTCAAATGCATAAGGAAATTACACCATAATTAGCCTAAATGTAGTAATTAATGATCCAAATATAGCACTTGCATAAGTAGTTAGGGATACCACAACCCAAGGAGCTTTTATTTGCTATTTTGTATAATTTCAGTAGGTAAAATTTGTTATAATTCATTGATAGTCTAAATAATAGAGAAGCTTTAGTAGTACCGGTAATTGCAATCTTCCTTGTGGGATCGACCCTTAATACCCTATACTCGCTCACGATTCGTATACTTGCGATAAATCGCGTGTGGGGTATTTAGGAGTTTATAAATGTAAAACTTGATTAGGATGAGCTTAATTGTATATGTATACTCCGCGCACGTCAAGTTTTTGGCGCCGTTGCCAGGGAACGAACCCGGGTCATTTTATTAGTAACTTTATTAGTTTAGACATTTTATTAGTTATTGTGTGAATGTTATTTTCTGTCATTTTAGTATTTTTTGTGTGTATGTGTTTAATCACCTGTTCTTCTCACTAATTTTGCTCTTAAGTTGTTTAAAAGCAATTTTAGGTGATGAGAAGCTTAGGTCAATTTGGAGGACAATGCTTGAGAAGTGGAAGATTGGAAATGGATGGTTACCAAGTGCAAAGCTCCTTCAACAGAGGTAACCAAGAATTTACTGAATGTATATCTTTTGAAGATGGTTTAAGGTGCTTAAAGGCAAAATTTGATGTAATTAAGTTACAAGTTCAAATGGACACCATGATGCATGAAATTGAGCAAGGGAGGAATGTTAATGCTTTCAATTCTTATCATGTGATTTGTGACTTGTGTGGAGGTTATCATGCTATTAATACATGTATGCAAGCACAAAATGTGGATTATTATGATGAATTAGAGCATTACAATCCTTGTTTTGATCAATATAGTGCTAATTGGAGCAATTCTCCTGCTTATGGTTGGAATAATCAATGTACTTATAGTGATAATTCATATTTTTATGATCACCAACCTGAATGTGTCCAATATGAATCAAAACCATTTTGGGAGTTGGCAATAGAAAGAGTAGCTAATGATTCTAAGCCATCTTGGGAGTTAGCTTTAGAAAAGCTAGCAAATGCAACTTCCGACCGTTTTGATAGGATTGAGGAAAGAATAGATGAATTAGCTTCTCACTTTGGTAGAATACATGAGCAATTGAATGTATTGTGTGAAGTTATTTCTTCTAATAATTTGCAAAATGATCCTAGCATGAATCGTGGAAATGTTGTATGTGAAAATGGATTGCATTTGGATGAAAATGATGAATCTCAATTATATTTCAATGAGCAAATATCCATTTCACATGATAATACCTTTGAAACTAACTTTGAGCCTCAAGAGGTGAGTTTTAATGACTCATTTTTCACCCCTCTTGAGGAGTGCATTGAAAGTATAGGTTCTAAGGGTATTGCTGCCCAAGATACTCTCATGACATTTCCTTTGGTAAATTCTCAAGTGGTGCATATTCAAGGTAATATCTATGAAACACTTGGAATAGGTAAGTCACTTCCATTTCTCACATTATTAGTTCATGTGGCTTTTTCTATTAAGTCACCTTACAATGATCCACCAAGGCCTAAAATGGTGGATTATTCGTTAACTAAGCCTCCTTGAAAAATGAGGTGATATAGTCAAGCTATTGACTTTAAAGAAGCGCTTATTGGGAGGCAACCCAATGCTTGTTTAAGTTGGTGTTACTTTGGAGTGATTTTATGTTTAAAGTATAAGTTTGAGTGATAATAGGTATTTTTCATTTGTAGGTTTTGGAAAAAGATGCAAAAGTGACCAAATGAGGTGAAAAAGGCGAAGTTTGATCAAAGATCTCAATACCTCAAATTCAGTAATTGTGAATTTTGATGCATTAAAGAGGTTTAGAATGCATGTTTAGATCATTTTACATGTGCGTGAATGATTTATTTTGACATAGAAATGATCTAGGGTGTATTTTGAAGAATTGAGGTCAAACTGAAAATTGCAAAAATTCTGCAATAAATGCAGATTCAATGGATCCAAGGCCTCGGATCCACTTCTGCAATCAGAGAAAAACTTCGAGCTTCTTGATCCGAGCTCGGATCCATATGGATCCAAGGCCTCGGATCCACTTCTGCAATCAGAAAAAATTTGAGCTTCTTGATCCGAGCTCACTTATCATGATCCGACCTCGGATCCTTTCAAAAACGACCTCGGATCCTTTCCAAACGAAGCCTCGGACCACTTTTCTTCATTCTTCCCTCTTTTTCCTCCTTCAACTCCACTTTTCTTCTTGTTGGTTGCAAGCTTTTATTCTTAAGAATTGTATTTTTGTTTTTTTTTTCAAGGTGCATTAATTGAAGTCTCCATTCTTTCAAGTAAAGTTGGAAATTCATCACTTGGACATGGATTCGGATTGCGCAAGTCATAAGGGGAGTATTTTCTTTTACTCTTTCTTTATTTTCCTTTTCTCACATTGAGGACAATGTGAAGTTTAAGTGTGGGGGAGGAAATATGTGAACTTACATTCTAATGCTATGTGATGATATTTTGTGGATTTAAATGCTTAGAAATATTGGAATTGTGTTTGAATTATTTGCCATGTGGATAATTTGCCTGAAATTGGGTTTGTTGGCAGGGAGTTTTCTTCCATTTATATGGGGAAACTCCGTCAAAATTTGTCTAACATCTTGTCCAATATGTCACTATGGCCCAAAAGTTCTTCAAATTTTTGCATTTTCATTCAAAAAGGGCTAATTTGTTCCAACTTTAAATGTTTTTATTCTTCCAATTGTTGAAACTTTATGTGTATTTTGGAAGGTTTAGTCCTCATTTAACTTGGAAATAGTTATTATGCAATTAGAATTTTTACATTTTAGAAAGTATATTTGGTAAAGTGAGGAAAATTATGCCTATAATTTTACATGTTTAATGAGATTTCTTCTCTTTACTTAATTTTGCAAGTAAGTGATTGACATAGTTGATAAAAGGTTATACTCCTCCTTTGATTAGTCTTATATATTTTCTAAGAGGGAATATCTATTTATTGTCCTTTAGTTTAAAAAAAAAAAGAAAAGAAAAGAAAGAAAAAATTATTCTACTCCAATGATTTTTGTACCGAGTAACCGGGGGTTGGCATCTACAAATGTCGATTTTCGCGTAAAAAGGTACTTGAATTAAGAATATGCATTGCAACTTGAATAAGTGAAATGTTGAGTAACCGGGAATCTTCACCTAAAAGTGTCGATTTTCGCGTAAAAAGGCATTCTCACTAATTAAGTAAAATTAGTATGAATAAATCCCTCTTAGATGTAAAATTTTGAGAAAAGGATGATTATAGGAGGAGGAAGGCTATAAATCGACTATGTGGGTTGCTTATTTGTGAAATTAGGTTAGGATAAGAGATTAAGTTTAACTTGTTGAATTTAGGGTATAATTATCTTTCCTTTACTTGATATTATGAGTATTTAGTGTAAATTGAATAATTATACAATAATTATTTTCCAAGTCTTGAGGAATTAAATTGGACAAAGTGCATATATTGTTTCACCTCTTGAATCATTGCATTTGATTATGTGTGAATTGCTTGAGGACAAGCAATGATTTAAGTGTGGGGGAGTTTGATAAGTGACTAATTTACGTAATAATTGTATGACATTTTATATTATTTTTAGTCACTTTGGTTATATTATTGGAAGAATATGAATCATTTTGGCTATAATTGGTGAAAAATGCTTTTAAGTGATTAAATGAGGTTTTTATCACTTTTTACTTGGATTTTGTGTATTTTGACAGTTTTGACACATTTTCGTATTTCGGCTATAACTTGAGTTACAATGATTGGATTGGGATGATTCTTGAACCCATTTGAAGATAAGAGATAGATCTACAACTTTGGTGAAAACATCCGAATCCAGTTTGAAGGTTTTCAAAATCAAAAAGCCGAATTACATTAGCTAATTTCTGTTGGTCGAAGCTGAAACAGGGCAATGAGCAGACAAGGGTATTTCAGTCATATCTCAGCTTACACAGTTCCAAATGAGGTGATTCTTGATGCATTGGAAAGATAACTCAAAAGGCTACAACTTTCGTGTTTTACACATGAGCTGGTTCAGCCTCTAATATCAAGAAAAGATCGGTTGAAGTTGGGCCAAAAACAGAGCAAGTGATCCACACTCGGATCCACTATTCATCCGAACCCTCGGCTGTTTCTGGGTTAGTGGATCCGAGCTCGGATCCATACGGATCCGAGGCACTGTAGCAGCTCGGATCACTGGTCAGAAAAGGCTGCTTTATACGCGTAAAACTCAATTTCACCTCCACCAACTCACATGTGATGCTAGACATGTGAGAGATATTACTAGCTGTAAGGAGAAAGTGTAAAGCTTCATTTCTTGACCACCTTTCATCATTAAATAGCCAAATTCATTGCAAAATGGGAAAAAGGGGATGATAGAGTAAGAGAGCAAGAGAGACATACGGGAGAAAGCTTGAAGCTGCAGAAATGTAGCTCTTTCATCTTCCTAGTATTAGTTTAGCTTAGTATAGAGTAGTATAGTTCATCCATTCTTGTTTATTATCTAGATTAGGATGAAGATGGAGGATGAAGAAGGCAAGGAAGAAAGCTCATGTGACAAGGGTTGTATTCCTTCCAAACTCTTTATCTTTTGTATTTGATTCCAAGTTTAGTTAATATACAAGTTCTGGATTTTGTGTTCATTATGTGTTTCTAAAGTTTATACCTTGGGTTTGGTTGAACTTTCTATAATTGTTAGTGTTTATTATTTGGTTATTTGATTGCTATGATTTGAGCAAGTTATTTAGCACTTTGGTTCTTTAAATCATGATTAATCTGGTACCATTAATTGTGATTATCTAAGGTGTTGTTTCTGCAATGAAAATTGAGATTTAACACTAGTTCAAGAAGTGCTAAACATAGGGAGTACACTCACGAAAGTAGAGGTGCACTTATGTGGTTTTAGTGATTCATTTCATGTAATTTCATTGAAGAAATGAACTTGTAACTAATTTCATAACCATGAAAATAGGTATGGATTAGTTATAGGTATAATTGATTCACTACGAAAGTAGGATTCAAATGCATAAGGAAATTACACCATAATTAGCCTAAATGTAGTAATTAATGATCCAAATATAGCACTTGCATGAGTAGTTAGGGATACCACAACCTAAGGAGCTTTTATTTGTTATTTTGTATAATTTGAGTAGGTAAAATTTGTTATATTTCATTGATAGTCTAAATAATAGAGAAGCTTTAGTAGTACCGGTAATTGCAATCTTCCTTGTGGGATCGACCCTTAATACCCTATACTCGCTCACGATTCGTATACTTGCGATAAATCGCGTGTGGGGTATTTAGGAGTTTATAAATGTAAAACTTGATTAGGATGAGCTTAATTGTATATGTATACTCCGCGCACGTCAACCAACGAAGGTGTTCCCCAGCCAAAATCAACGCCATAAAATGGGAACCTACACCAGCTTGAGCACCCGTACAAGTCAGAGTTGTGTGTTTCAGTTGCTGCAGTACTCAGCGGTGCTGAGTGGGATGCTTCTTGCCTACTAAGAATGGAATTGATGTTTTCTGTGCACTCCTTGAGCAATTTTGTTTTCCCTTCCCTTAGTTTATTAACTAACTCTGGTAATTTAACTTCAGCATTGTTGTCAACTGATGTCGGGAAATAGGCAAAAAAATTCCCAACTGAATTTTGTGGAAGTGGAGGGACAATTATTTGTCGAAAATTCACAGCATTCACGAAGATTGATGGGCGGCTGTGTGATCCCGAGTTTGCCTTTGACGCTGCAGACATAAAACAACCGTAAAGTAGGGCTGACACAACTTCAAACCGAGTAGGGTTTTCTACTCCTGAGTTAAGAGCAATAGCCTTGAGTTCTCCAATTTTAGAAGCATGGAACGCCAAAATCCTTTTCACGTGCTTCCCTTGATCTAGCTTAGGAGGAGATGGTTTCGGAAATTGCTGACCGTCAACAGGGGGGAACAGAGAAGCTGCATGAAGATGAGGAGATGGGATGTCACTCGTTTGACGAGCTATTGCTGCCCAATCATTCATGAAAGTTGATACGCTGGATGCATCAGCAATCCTGTGATTTATAGACACACTCAATACTATGCCACCGCAGTTGAAAGAACTGAGCTGAACAAATACTAGGCTACGATGATTAGCTAGGGCCGGCCCGGAGAATAGAGATCTAGCAAAGATAAGATCTTCCATTTTTCCAGAACTTAATTGCTTGCGAATCTCAGACACTCGACAATTAATTCGGCCTTCAGTAAATTGAGCACCCATGTCGTTGCAATCAATCATATAGCCGTTTTTCATCAGCCGTCCGGCGAAAGGGTAATACTGGGCAAGAGTTTTTGAGAGAGAACTTTTAAGCAGTTGTGATATTTCATTGGCAAGCCAACGAGTTCCCTTAATATTAGGATAGAAGAAAGCCACCGGGATCAGAAGATATGGTGAGATTCCTTGATCTAACAATGAGAGCTTGTGGTATCTCAAAGAAGTTGGAGTGGGTGAGGAAGGCTTGATGAATGTTTCAGAAATTATCTCAAACTGCAGCGAGGCATCCATCCTGATGAATATTTGCTTGAATGAAGGCCTATATGTCTTATCAATAAGCTTGTGCTGGCTTTGCTAACCTATTACCCTTTTATAGTGTGGTGAACAATGGCATTGTATTTTTGGTATTAACCTAAAATACCTGTACTTGGAAAAGTTACACATCTCTTAGTACACTGTCTTCCGAAATACCAATTTCTTTTAAAGTCTCTCCCTATGGTACAATTGTTTTACAGTCACTAAAATACAAAATTCATCATTACTTGAATAAGAAATGATTTTAGAGTGCTTAAGCAAATCAAAAATTTCTCCCTCTCTATCTCCCTCTGCTTAAAATTCTCAAGAAGCCATCAGTCTAAACATAGTTTTTCCAAGCCACTGGTGAAGATTAGGCTACGCCGCAGTCCTACATTGATGAAAGAAAGAAGCTAGGATGTGTTTAGACAACAGAAAAAAAAACCCCAAGAGGACCAATTTCTTGTGCTAGGATTCATTTGTTTCCCTTCAGACCCATATATAGCTGCTATTTGTGTGCCTGAAGTCGGGCAAGTGGTGCTAACCTAACAAATGGAATATATCATGCCTAGATAAAGCCTGGAGATATACCTAAGGGCAACTTTGATTATTGTGTACCTAAGCTATTGTTGTTTTTCACGATTAGGAGCAAACAAAAGGTTGGAAATCTTTACAAACGCCTTTTTCTTGATAGTTAATCACGTAATTTATTTTTTTTTTCAAATACTTGTTATGTTAGACTTGAATTCCCAGATGATTTTGCATACAAGTCTAAAATTTTCAAACCAGAAAGTTGAATTCCAACTAGGTATATTCATTGACAATAAGCTAACTAGTGAAGGGTTCGGATTAGTCAATTGAATTTTTTTCTGGTGGATATACTTTTGGGATTATTCAGATTGAAAATTTCGCATTCGGAAAGGAACAATTAGTATATCTGATAAAAATGAAAAAGAAATTGGGAATCACTAGGAAAGGCTAAGAACTTTTGATGAATTATATTAATCCTCTTGGACTTGTTAAATGGTGATGGATTTGAACTTGAATAGGATTCATTAAAGACTTAATATTCTTTAATTAATGCAATTCTTAGTGTGGCTGATTGTTTTTTTTTTTTTTTTTTTTTTTAAAGCAGGGCCAA